CTCTCTCTCTCTCGCTTTTCCATTTGCTCGGCGCGCATTGATTGATTGTCTGTTCACCGCCGCCGCTGCTGCCCGCACTTTTCATATTTACCTCAGCTACACGGACAGCAGCAATTAGAGATGGCCAGATAGTAGGGGCAGAGAGTGAATGTGCTTGCCTGCCTGCCCGGCACCCGTCTGATACGTCGTCGATGGATGGAGAAGGATGGTCGGCAAATTAAGTTGAGTTGTTCGTTACTTCGTGCTCGGGATTTCTGTTATCAAGAGTACTTCCCAATCGGAAGTGGCCCGGGCAACCCCTGCTGACGGCGGTCCATGACGCCTTGAAAGTTGGTGGTAGTGAATCACCACCACCGCCAACAGTGAGGATGACTTGGCAAGTGNGTTGGTGGTAGTGAATCACCACCACCGCCAACAGTGAGGATGACTTGGCAAGTGTCTGCTAATGACCTCGTATCTTCTCCCTCTCTCTCTCTCTCTCTCTCTCTCTCTCTCTCTCTCTCACCTATTCGCGAACTTATCACTTCACCTCGGAGCAGTGAGCTGCGAGTCACTTTCTGGTGATCTGGCGGCAGCGGCAGCTCTCCAGCCCTGGCTGGCTCTCACTCGGCGCACGGCGGTCACGGTGATTACCTGCTGCTGCTGCCGCTGGGATTCACGCAACAGTGGCGATGATGGCGAACGCTCTCTCGCTCTCACTCGTGAACTTCGCTGAAGGTGCTGAAAAAACTTTTCTCTGTTTTGAGCAGCCACACATGGTCGTGCTCACTAGCTGCTCATATCCTCTTTTTTTCTGTTGCTGTCTGTTTCATCCATTACGCCACATCCGCCGCCGAGTAGCAGTGCTGTACTCTCTCTACCCCTGCTGCTGCTGCTGCCGTACTGTGTTCCCCTCATTGAGCATTCAACAGTGTGTGTGTGTGTGCGATTGAATTGGCAAGTGTTGCACGCAAGAGATCGCCGAGGTGCGCTTACTCGAATCATATGAACAAAGAGTGCCCTATAAAGCTGGGCGGAGAACCGAAAGCTGCTACGGCGGTAGCTGATGCTTCTGATGCAGCCGTACTCCCAGAGCAGCACTTCTTTTGCATTTCTTTCACTGCTATGTTTTTTCTGTTTCGCTGATGGCGCTGCCTGCGATGCGGCAGTCTACTGGTCGTTGCTGGCGATGGTGCTCCTTTGGTGGCGCTGCCGTGCACTGCTGGTCATCTTCACCACCACCGCCGAACAGACATATTTCCTCTCTCTCTCTCTCTCTCTCTCTCACTCACTGAGTGGTGAATCGACCGTCGCCAAAAGTGCCACGCGTTACCTTTTCAGTGGTGAGCTCACCTGAGAGAGCTCCCTCCACTCTGCTGCACGATTCACTCGTCGCTGAGGAGAGAGTGAGTGCAAATGCCAAAAAAGTCTCTTTCGCATAGATAGTGTGTGCACTTGGCAGCCATTGCAATCCCTGCAACGGCGGTGGTGGTACCGTAGTGCCACTGCCGTTGATGATCACGAAGAGGAGCTGCTGCTGCTGCTGCTGATGCTGCAGTGGTTGGAATGGCCCAAACGATGCAGCAGCAGCATCAGCAGTTCTCTTCAGCTATCTCCTGCAAGGGTGTGATGCTCAGAAAATTGCCCAGCGCACAGGTTCACTTCAAAGTGTTCTCTCGCTCTGAAAGACGACAATTTATTGCTGCTGCTGCATCAGCTCATCAGGGAAGGCCCTGTCTTGGTCCACGGGGGAGAAGGATGACTGAATGTATGTATGTGTGCTCAGACCAAGGTCTCCTACCTGCTCTCTGCTACCTGGGCACCGATGCGTTTCAGTGCACTGAATGGAGCATCACTTGTAATGCATTGCACTGTTCCTTTCTCTGCTTCAGCACCCGGGCTGGGTTCCTCTCTTTCACTGTTCAGCAAAATGTGACTCTTCAACAACGTTATCTCCTCTCTCCTCTAATGCAGACTGTTGCTTTCTCTGCCTTCTCCTTTCCCCCACCACTCTCTCCCTCTCTCCTCCTCATTAAATGATGGCGAGGCAATTCTCTTCGTCAATTGCTGAAATTATTTACTCTCGCTCTGGCGCACAGGACAGCAGTGGAGAAAGAGCAAGCGAAAGCCAAGCTGGCACTTTTTTCTTCACCGCCGTCTTCTTCTTTTTCTTCTTCGGCGACTGCACCTTCCCAGTCAGTGAGCAGCCCAGTGGTGTTCACTCTCGAACTAATGCTGAAATGGCACAGGCACAGGCACACACTGCAAATGAACTGCGCTCCAAGCACTGTTGGCACAGACACTGTCTCTTATCGAGTGATTGCCTTTTGCCTTCCCTCGTTGAAGACTCTCGGCGACGACTGTGTCCCTCGCGAGCGGGCACATACACAAACACACCGCATATAAATATTCTCTCCGTCGATCAGCTCACCTGTTGAGAGACCGTAATGCGAAAGTAGTGCCTTCAGGCCAATTTCCGAGAGTGAGAGAGGACAGAGTCAGAGTCAGTGCGCAGAAAAAGAATTGCCATGGCAAGGAGGTAAATGCAGTCAGAGGGAGAAGGAGAGTTGTTGTCCATTTGCTTGTCCTCTTCTTCTTCTTCATCGTTGGCGACGGCGGCGCCGTGGTCACCGTCTCTGTCATCGTCGCCGCATCTACTTGAGCTGACTTTCTGCATTGCATCTCAATCTCCCTCGCCACTGAGCACTCTCAAACAGGGCCTCTGTCGTGGCAGTGGTGGTGGTGGACTCCGTACACTTCTTTTTCTTCTACTTCTTCATGCTATCGAGTACGTCAATCGAACGGTTGCTGGCAGTGGCAGCAGCAGCAGCCATTATTTGTCGTCTTGTCGACACTGGAGACACATCGGAGTGAGAAAGAAAGAGGGAGCAGCGAAAGAAAGGAAGGAAAATGGTTGCACAATTTGCTTAGATGCGCGCCTTGTCGTCGTGCTACAAGCTAAGTTGTTGCTGCAGTGTACCGTACTGTGAGCGTGTTGTAATAAGCTAGAGAGAGAGAGAGAGAGAGAAAGACTCGAATGACCACAACAGACAAGCACCTTCACTTCTAGCATCAGCAGCATTATCAGCTGCATTCTCAACACTGCAATAACCAACTAACCGGTATCATTTCCTTTTCCCTTTTCCCCTTTTTCCTCCTTGGCAGCTTCCGTGACGACCATGCTCAACATCAACGGCTCCAGTGAGGTGGGGGAGCCGCAGACGAACGGCGGCTCGGGAGTGCAGGGCCACGGGCACATGCACTCCCTCTACGACTACTACAAACTGCCGGTGGTGGTGGACGGCAATGGCGGCCTCGGCAAGGGCGGCATCACGCTGATCACCTCGGACGGAAAGGCGGTCACCGACAGTGCACTGCAGGAGATGGTCTGGAGGTGAGTGTACAGATGGATGGTGGGGGATGTTGATAAGGCAAAGAGGAGGTATTAGCAGAAAATGCGGATTAACAGTGGTCGTACAGAGCTATCAACCGTCAACACCACCGACGCATCAACTCACTCACTTTCTGCACTGTGAGCTGTCGCGCCGTTGCAAATCTTTTTGGCATTTTCGATTTCTCACACTGCTGCCGAAGAAGAACAGGTTTCGCTCAGGAATACGATCCATCTTCTCTATCCATGCATCCAACTCATTGACCATTAACACGCCAGTGTCAGGTGGTGGTGGTGGTGCGCACAGTGATCCGCGCTCACAGACCGACGATTAAGCCAAGCGATGAGGATCCCAAATGAGTGCTGATTAGGGTGCACTTTCTGTGCATCATCAGGGTCCTACACAAAGTCGATATCCTTTTAGACCGGCTAGGACCCACTATTGACACTAGGACCTAGACAGGAATTGCATAAGAGAGCACTTCACTGACTGGGCGGGTGACACATTGCGACACACAGAGAGGCAGACAGAAACAGCAGTCAATCTTTCGTTGATCACTTTCGCTTGGTCTCTTCTCTTACACCACCACCGCCGCTGGAGTTCTCTGCCGCGCTATCTCTTTTCTCTCTCTCTCTCTCTCTCTCTCTCTGCCGTTCCAGCTCCTTTGCCTTCGCTAGCTGGGGTGGGCAACTGCTCTGTGCCATCCACAGCTCGCGGATCATGGTGTTGGCACCGCCACCACCACCACGACTGCAGCACTTCAGCAGTGCTTCGCGCGCGCTCTCGTGCGGCGGCGAATGGCTGAGCAACAGCGCTGCGACCACTTGTTACTGCGTCTGCACTTGTTACCTGCAGTGGATGAGTGAAGGCCGCCGCCGCCACCACTGCCGCGCCGCGCTTCAGGCTTTCCAGCTAGCGCAGTGAAAGCAACTGAGCAAGAGGCACACAAGCAGAAAGAGAGAGAGAGACAGTACATGCAGTCCACACATACACACACACACATACATTCAGCCTANAGCGCAGTGAAAGCAACTGAGCAAGAGGCACACAAGCAGAAAGAGAGAGACAGTACATGCAGTCCACACATACACACACATACATACATTCAGCCTAGTGAGTACTGTGCAAACGACAATAGCATCACCATCATCATCAGCAGCATCGGCATCAGCATCAGCAGCCAGTTTTCGCTCGCCTGGCACTCGATGATCCAATCGGCAGCATTCTCCACCACCACCAGCATATCCGATGACCTCTTCTCCTCCTCCTCCTCCTCCCTCTCTTCAACTGTAGAGTACTCTTGACCATGCAGAGCGTCATCAGTTACTGGTAACGATGTAGTGTAGTGGTTGTGCTGCTGACTAGAGGGCGGCACTCAATTGCTCAGACCCATCCGCCCACCTTTGTGTTTACATTATGCGGCTATTTTGATACTGCCGCCTCAAGCTGGCACTTGTTTACACAAACACCTGTGACCACAAACAATACACAAACTCACCTGTCATCTTTTCTTTCTTTTTTCTTTCCCTTACCCGAATTCCTCCTCCTCGACCAATCCTCAACGAATCCTCAACCAACCCTTCAGCGCCGTACCCGTCTCAGTCAGTGCCGCCGATGTCCTGCAGAACGCGACCATCGTCGCGGCCACCACTAGCGGCTCTTCGCTTGCCTCCTCGCCGAACCGCCACTCTGACGAGGAGACTAAGTTCACCAGCAACAACACCAGTCCACTCAACGGACACTCCTCTCCGCAGCAGTCGGCAAAACTAGGAGGTAGTGGTGGTGCTGATGGCAAAAACAACGGCCATCAACAGCAACAGCAGCAGCAACTCATCGTCTCCTCTGCCGCAGACAGTCTGGTGACCAACGGCGACGGACAGCAGACAATTCTGGTCACCTCGAGTCTGGACGGCAGCGTTGTGACGACCAGCACCATCACCAGCAACGGCCAGCCAGTTCATCAACAACAGCAGCAGCAACAGCAGCACACCGAAGTGCATATCAAGAGTGAACACCTGCCCCAGCATCAGCAGCAACAGCAGCAGCAGTCGGCGACAGTATTAAGCCACCCGGGCGAATCAGGTCTGGTGCACATCAAGAGCGAGCCACTTGACCCGCTCCCACCGCTTGCCTCGCCCGCCCAGATGGTCGACGTGCTGCCGGCCGGCGTGGTGGACCGCTCTCGCGAGCTGCAGCAGTCGCCGCCCGCCACTGTGATCTCCCTCGCCCCTGCTCAGCCCTATCCGCCCAACTCCGCCACGCAGCTCACCTTTGCGCCCACCACCTACGACCTCTCCGGAGGGCAGTATTCAGTTCAGGTGAGTGCTTCATTTGCCGTGCCGTTCTATCTCTAAACACACACCAACTTTTGCCCATTTCTATGTCTTTCGCCAACACACAGGTAAACGCGGCGACCGTCTCTCCGCAGTACGCCGCTGTCACGCCGACGGCAGCCGCAGCAGCGAGGAGCACCAACGGCGGCGGCACCTTCTACCTGACCACGGACGGAAACTACGTTGCATATCGCGAGTGCTACAACCCCGGCGCCACCATCACCACCACCAACGGCATCAACATCAACGGCGGCGGCGGCATTGTGACCAATCTGGTGGGCAATGCACTCGGCGTCGGCGACCAGTACCACACCGTCCGCCAGCACCTCACCACGGCGCTCAACGGACAGCAACAGCAGCAACAGCAGCAGCAGCAGCAAGCAAATCAACAGCAGCAGGTGGTGAACGCCTACACGACAGTGCCCCTCGTGGGCGACGGCTCCGACGGAACCTCCTTTCTCGACCGGTACCTTCGTCAGCAGCAGCAGCAGCAACCAGTGACAGCGACCACAGTGGGCGTGAATGGCGCGACGACGGTGACGGTTTCGCCGGCGGCAGTGGCCGTCGTCCCTTCCGGCGTGGCGCCGGTGTCCAATGGTGTGCACAGTGGCGACCACTATACCGTTTCCTCGCTGAATCAGCATCTTCTAACCGTTGATTTGCCGTCCCCAGATAGCGGACTTGGCGGCGACACGACGACGGCCACGCCGCGGCCTGACAATGCCGCACTTCCACAAGTGAGTGTTTTTTCTGGTGATTGAGTAGTGGTGGAGCTTTATAGCCGCCCAGTAGTAGTAGTAATCTCATTGGACGCCAGAGCCAATCCTATATAGCGGCGTTGCTGCGGTTGCCGGGCAACAGCAGCAGTATCGCGCCAAAAGTACTTCACACACTGTACAAATTACTGACGCCTTCCCTCTCTTTGCCTTCTCTCTCTCTCTCTTTCTCTTCTTTCACCTGCATTAGATCTTCGATTACAGTGGGCTGCAGGCGGCGGCGGCGGCAGGACAGACGACGGGGCTGCTGCCAGTGAATGTGACCACTGATCTCTCTGCAGTGGCTGCCACGCCCGGGCAGCAGGTGGTGGTGACCACGCCGGTGGCAGGGTCTGCCGGCAGTGTGACGCCCGCCTCCATCGGCAAGTCCTCCAACCGGCGGTCCTGGCACGAGTACGGCCGCAACTCGGACGTCGACAAGATTCAAATTTCAAAGCTGTGAGTGCTGATTTTAAGCTTAGAAACCCCTTCGTTACACTAACATTTATTATTACCACACAGTGTGTCTGACGTTGGTCTGAAGTACTACCTGGAGTCGCCCATTTCGACCAGTCAGCGAAGGGAGGACGACCGCGTCACCTACATCAACAAGGGCCAGTTTTACGGGATCTCACTGGAGTACATCAACGACCCCGATAAGCCCATCAAAGCGGCCACTGTCAAGGTGAGAGAGCTTGTTTGGGGGTTAATTTTAGTTCAAAACTCACGTGTTTTTGTTTTTTTAAAATACTAGTCGGTAGTGATGCTGGTCTTTCGCGAGGAGAAGACCCAAGAGGAGGAGGTGAAGGCGTGGCAGTTCTGGCACAGCCGCCAGCACTCCATTAAACAGCGCATCCTCGACGCGGACACCAAAAATTCTTCCGGTATTGTGGGGCCGATTGAGGAGGTGGCTCACAATGCCATTGCCTTCTACTGGAACCCTCTGGAGGGGCCGGCCAAGGTGAACATCGCCGTCCAGTGCCTCAGTACGGACTTTAGCAATCAAAAGGGCGTCAAGGTAAGCTGATTGGTTGTGTTTTGCATAAAATTGAGCAGAATTTACCAAACGATTTTCAATCATTTCCACCAGGGCCTGCCACTGCACCTGCAAGTGGACACCTTTGACGACATTAGAGAGGGCAGTCTGCCCATCAACCGAGGATACTGTCAAATTAAAGTTTTTTGTGATAAGGTTTGTTGAGAAACTGCAACTGATGAGATAACTGGAACAGTGCTAATCATGTCATTTGTCTATTGTTACACAGGGCGCCGAGCGGAAGACTCGCGACGAGGAGCGCCGAGCAGCAAAGAGAAAGATGAACGCCACTGGAAGTAAGTGTCTCTCTCTGTCCACTGAGTGTGTGTGCCCACTCCCGAGAAAGAGTGCTGTGACCACTCCTGCTTCCTAAACACTATCCAATTGCTAACGATTGACAACTGACAAGGTCCTGTTGCCTCTTCTTCTTCTTCCTCCTCCACCTCCAACACCTCCTCTTCGGTTCCACCACCACCACTACCACCTCTACCACAACAATCAACAGATGGTCGCAAGAAGATGGACGATATGTACCACCCGACGGCAGACCGGTCGGAGTTTTACTCCATGAGTGACCTTCACAAGCCGCCGGTGCTCTTTACGCCCAGTGAAGACATGGAAAAAGTAGTGAGTCTCGAAATGAGTGCCAGAGGTGGGTTAGGNCCGACGGCAGACCGGTCGGAGTTTTACTCCATGAGTGACCTTCACAAGCCTCCGGTGCTCTTTACGCCCAGTGAAGACATGGAAAAAGTAGTGAGTCTCGAAATGAGAGCCAGAGGTGGACAGAGGAGGAGGACCAACTAATCCTTTTTCTCTGCTTTTTGTACAGCTCACCACGGGCGACCTCAACTTCTACGGTCACGGCCCCGATCTAGGGTATGATGCTGACAGCGGCGCCCTGCCAGCCCTCGGTGGTGCCAGTGGTCACATGCCTCTCACCACCTTACTTCCGTGGTATTTTACTAACTAGTCATTTTTCCTCTTTTTTCTGTTTTTGACACGCAACCCCCTGTTCTTTCTTCTTTATTACCTCTCTCTCCATCCTCTCTCCACCCTCTCCATTCCTGTTTTGACTAACCAGTGAACGAGATCTGTGTGATATGCCGATGGCCTGTCCGCCGAAGAAGCTCAAGCTGGAGCGCTACCCGAGCACCAATGATCGCGGTATGTAACCCTCACTTTTCTGTGACAATGCCTGTGAATTGATCGCCTAGCCTCCTTCTCGCCCACAGTGCTCCTGTACGCGAAGCAGGAAAACGAGGAGGTCTTCCACCCGCTACACCTGGTTCCGCCGACGCTGGTCGGCCTGGCTCTTGCTGTAAGCCTTGATTTGTTATTACTACTACTCTTTGAGAGAGAGGGATCGTTCAATATCCAACGTACTAATGGACATTTGCCACTGCCACTTTTTCAGATTGAAAACAAGTACAAATTGGAGGCGAAAAACATTCGCAACATTTACAAGCGTTGCAAGAAGGGGTATGTCCAATTCTTTTGTTGTGTGATTTATAAACACACTAACTAAATCTACTCCTATTTCCCCACAGCGTCACAGTACAAATGGACGACGACATGGTGAAGCACTACTCGCACGAGGACACCGTTCTCCTCGAGGTGCACCAGATTGACACTGAAACGCACGACATTACCCTGGTGGAGTACGACGCCTGCTAAGCAGTGTCAATCGGACAAAAAACAGAAACACCAAAAGCAAACACACTCGTCGTACCTTTTCCCCTTCACACTACTTCTCTCACTGAACCGAACATACTCGCACTTTACCAATGCTGCTGCTGCTGTTGCCTTATTTTGTTGCAGGCTCCCAATTCACACTGAAGCGTAACCAAAGCTCTATCTGGTGCACTCTCCACTTCCAGGCTGCTGCTCCGGCTCAAAACGCACTACTTTCCCCCTTTTGTCTCATCCCTTTTCCTCCGGTGTCTTTACTTTTTACTTTTATTTTATTCCGCATTCTTGTGCCTTACCCCCCTTCTTCCACCCCTCCATAATGATCTGACTACACACACACACATTCATCATCAGGCTAATCATCACCACATATTTTATCGACTTACTCTTCCAAACACCGTTTCTCACTTCCTGGCACCACTCATCTCATCTGCCCATCCCCAATACAAACAAGATACTCATCATTCCTCATGCTTTCCCTTTTATTCTGAATTCATTGCCTTCTTTCTCTCTTTCTCTTTCTATTCTATATGCATGTTTTTATCTTCAGTTTGATAAAATTTTCTTTCATCATTTGAATCTGTTTTCTACCACCACCACACACTCTGCCTCTCTGCACTCGCACTTGCACACTCGTCTGCTAACAGTTGTCAGTCTAAATGGTTTGATGAATCACCGAAGAACTGAGCTGTGTTCAGAGCTTGGTTTGAGCTGAGACAGCGCACGAATCTCGTCTTTACCACCGAATTCCTCCTTCTCCTCCTTCTCCTTTCCTGGGCAAGTCAGCAAAGGCAGCTCTTCAGATCTTCAAGCACTGTACGGGTATCTCTCTTACTTGCTACCAGAGAAGCTTAAACATGAAATATAGGAGGGAAGAAAAGGGGGAGAAGGAGATGAAACGGTACTAAATGGAAAATGGTTCTGCTCAAGCGGACGGAAAAATAATGAATAAGCAAAAAATGCTCTGTGATACTGCTGCTCTCATTGCTGAAAAAGCAGACTGAACCAGAACACAAAAACTGACCCGATGATCTGACAATGAAGACGTGTGTGCAGTCGAGACACTGCTACTTCTGATCACAATAATCAAAACGTTTCACAACACTTTCAGCAGTCTCCAAAATTGGCCTCACCGGTTTCACCGATTCTTTCTTCTTTTTCACCCCAGCCCACTTCAACCCTTGCATTTCCATCATCAGTTTTCTGTGCCAAACACAAACCTCTTTCTCTGTACAAACTCTCAACTTCTCTCGACAGGANGACGTGTGTGCAGTCGAGACACTGCTACTTTCTGATCACAATAATCAAAACGTTTCACAACACTTTCAGCAGTCTTCAAAATTGGCCTCACCGGTTTCACCGATTCTTTCTTCTTTTTCACCCCAGCCCACTTCAACTCTTGCATTTCCATCATCAGTTTTCTGTGCCAAACACAAACCTCTTTCTCTGTACAAACTCTCAACTTCTCTCGACAGAACTTGTTTCTTCTGCATCATCTGTACCAGAACACCTTCTTTTACACATTCACACACTCAGCCGACACACATCAGCTTTTAAGCACCAGCACCAGCATAACCCTTTTGACTTTAATCGAAAGTCCACTACAACTTCCATTACAGCAATTTAGCTAACTACCAGTAGCACTTATCAATTAGCACCTACTCTCACTTTCTCACTTTCCCCCTTTTTACTACGAGGCCATTCGTGCAATGGGTTTTACATATTGACCAGACTTACTATTCTACTTTTACTATACTATACTAGTTCTAATTAGATCCCCTCTCTCACGATTGAGTCTCACAACCCAATCTCAACCGGCACCCGACTACATTAGCAGCCTTCTAGGCCTGAATCAAAAGTTGACGCACTGAGGAAACACTCGGTTTACCAGCTACATGTGTTTCCAATAGTAGCTCTTTCTTTATTCATGTACATTCACACTCAAAAACACACATCTACTTTATAGCCCCTGTTTACAACTACCACCAGATTTCTATGATCTACCAGTAATAAATTATTATTATTATCATTACTGCTATACTCAACTCTACACATCAGCAAATACCCCCTCTATTTTTGTATATTTTTTGCTTACAGAATGAATAAAAGTTTATATAAAGTTGCACGTCAACAATCATGTCAACTTATGAAATTTAAATTTGCTCTCACAGAGAACGTACGACAGCTACCGCCAATTAGGTAGCTTTGTTCACTAGACACTCCTATAGAAGAGAACTCAGAAATTGGCTTGTGGATCACCGCTGGTCAAACATTTTGAAAAGCTATTTAATGTTGGTTTGTTTTGTACTTTTAAGGCAATGAAGAAAGATGGCACAACACTAACTGGGTTTTTCAATTTTTTTAAATTTTTTTGGTATTTTTGTCAATGAAGAAAAGCTACAAAAGTTAATTGGCAACAAACCTAAAGATGATGTTAAGTCGGTTTGTTTTGGGGCCCCGCTTGTCTACTGGCAAACGTGAAAATACATACCACTTTTGATGATAGAATGGTAGAGCGCATTAACTTACAGCGATGCAGTTGTCTTCATTGAGTTATTTTTGTGTTTATGTAAAAAGATAAAAGAAAATGTAGTGTTTATGTATAAAAAAAGTGTAATATGTAATATATGTTATAGAAAAGGATAAAGTGTACTTGTCAGTCCGTGTATGGTGACTAATGAAAACAATTAGTATTTTTGGGTTATTTTGTGTATAGAAAGTCAAATTATTATGTGCATGAGGAAAAAACAAAATCATTTTTAAAGAGATTTTTTGATTGAGTATAAATTATAAAAAGTAAGTGATAGACATATTAGATTCTGTAAATACATATAGATTATAAAAGTTTAGAGTATATTAGAGTATATATTAGAGTATTGAGATGAGATTAATAAATGCAATAAAGCTTTTGTGTTAATTCGAACGCATGTTTCGAACTGGCGGAATATTAGATTGTGGGTTATTTCTTGAACAATTTTTGTGATTTTTAAAACGGCTAATATAATATTCACATTTTCCGCATTTAAGACATTCGTAAAGACCCTTAAGGTGTTCTTTCTCAAAATGCATTTCGAGTCCAATTGCAGATTTAAAAGTTTTTTCACATCTTACATTTTTACATAACATGTTGTTATTGTGAAAATTGTTGTAATGGTTTTTGAGATGTGCACTGCAAATACAAATTATAAATTAAAGTTAAATATAGCAAAACTACTTACGATTTGGTAAATGAAACTTGATAACAGTTACGACTGAAGCATTGATACGGTTTGATGCCATGGTCCCTTTGAAGATGTTCTCTGAGTTTTGCTGCGTCGGAAAATATTTTTCCACATGAAATTAAAGCATTGTGTACAAGTTCTTCACATTTCAAATGGCGAACTTTCACTGTAGAGTTGTATTTACTTATAGGACTATTTTCACTTCTTTCTGGAATTCGGTTCTCGGAAGGTATGACATTTAAGTTACGCCGATTTTCCAGACCGTTAGAAACATTTACAACATTTGATCCCGCAGTATTTGAGTTGTTTGAAGCTTGAACGAAAAAAACAGGTTGAGAAGCACGATAAAATGTCTCAATGTTATCAACAGCTTCTAAAAAATGTTTTTGAAAATTTGTTGCTAAATTTATTGCATAAGTTTTAGCAGCAGCTCTAGGAACGAGGAGATAAGATTCATCGCCTATCTGATGGTTAAGTTGATCCATTTCTGCATTTGTAGGAACAAATAAGTTATTAAATTGATTAGATGCACTTGAATACATTGTTGAGAAACGTCGATAAAAGCGGGATAAGGCAAAAATTGAAAAAGAGGAGATGATAGTTGACGGCGTCTGACTGCACTTGACGAGGATCAGGCTTAAACTGAAATTGGACGTTTTTTGTTTGCTCTTGTAGGTGAGGTGACTTCACTGCACTCTTTTACAGTCGATAGAGGCTTCAGACATAACGTGTGTTTTAGACAGATTTGAAATCTAAGAGCGACACATTTGAAGAAAAAATTTAACAAAATTATTATATGGAAAAAGTTAGTAGAGATAGTCAACGACAAATTGGATTAACTATCTGTAGACAAATAAGTGATAAAATAAAGAAAAAAAGGTTAAAGTTGAAATTACGTCACACGGTATATGACGGGATCATACTCTGAGGATCATTTGATTGCATCATGTTTGCATCATTGCAAACCGCTAGGAAACTACTCGAAAATCAACTATCACTGTTTTACAATGTACGACCCAAACACTATCATTAAACATTTGGGGCTTTTAAACACGGGCTCAACGCGTAAATAGTCAAGCTGTGCCTCAACTCGCAGCGAGCGCGTTAACACGGTGACAGCTTGCCTGCGCTGTTTTCTATCAATGAGCAATAGAGTAGCGGGCTGGAAGCAGTGGCCGTCTGAGTTTAACCTGACCCCGCCGCCCACCGCCCTAAAACGACGCGGCTCCGCCGGCTTATCTTAACGAAATCCACTTGGATAGCCGGACCGTAGATGATCGACCGAAAGTAATCTGAACGGACCGACCGACCGCCCGACCGCCCGCCCGCCCTACCCTACCCTAAACTTAAACCAAATCCTGGACAAAACATTGTGTTGGAACGTAAACAAACTAGTTGTAACCTGAAAAACTCATTTGCTCAGTGCAAGTTCTTGGTCAGTTGTGTCGAAATAGGACACACTGAACCCGTGTTTTAAAAGCCCCAAACATTTCTACCAATTTACTCAACACGAAATTGGGTTTTTTTTGCAGAAACAGCCTTNAAGCCCCAAACATTCCTACCAATTTACTCAACACGAAATTGGGTTTTTTTGCAGAAACAGCCTGTTCCTGTCAACAGCCGAAAAAGTTCCGTTGTCAAACGCGCTACGCCCCAAAAACCTATCTTTTCCTACAAATCAATAGGACCAGTAATCTCAACACTAACTAAAAACAAGTAAACCTAGTAATTGCGCTTGAATCACAGTATCATCTCCACAGAATGGCACTACCATCAACTAGCCTGCTGAGTGCCCGTTAACTACACACCCCACTAGCCCAGCCACACTCAGCTTAACCTCGCCTTTACAGAAAATGCACATTTCAAGAAAAGACCTCTTGAAATTGTGTGTTAAACCTACATCAATTATTATTGTTGTAGTGGCTGGGACGTCAGCCCCTACTAATGCTCTCTCTGCCCTATTCCGTCAATGGCTGACTTTCCGGACAATCGCTCACTCGTTGTCATTTACAAAACCACGCATCGAGTTGCTGCGTGTGACCAACGCACATCTCTCACATTCTACAGCTCTCTTCACAGCAGCAATCAGACATAAAACTCGGAACACTCTTTTGCATAAGCAAGCCTGCAGAAAGCACTGGAAACATCCAGCTGCCTTACCTTTTGTTCACTGCTAGCTGCATCTCTGCATTGATCACCGTCAAATATCCCCTCAATTTTTGTTTATTTTTTTATTGCTTACAAAATGAATAAAAGTTTATATTTGCTAAAAATTGGAGTTTGAGTATCGCTGAGGTGACAGTGACTGTTTTCACCAGTAGGCGGCGGTAAGATGCAAACGCGGCGGAGATTATATTGAGCCAAAACGAGATGCATTGCAGTGCATCGATTGCGCTCTTTCTACCTGGCGCCCGTTTGTCGCCACAACAACAACAACAATATATTCATCATCAACAACTTTAGCAGCAGTAGCAAAAAACAGTGATCACAAAAATGAACTTTGCGGCTAATCCTCAAGATCTCATTTATCATGAAAAGGTGAGGCGAATATTGTTGATGGAGAGTGTGTGTTTGCTAGGAAATCCAATAATGCAACATATTATGTTTGTTTGTCACCACCAGCAAGAAGGACGTCTGTGCGCAGTCCACTGTCTGAACAATCTCCTGCAGGGCAGCTACTTCACCGCCGTTGACCTGGGCAACCTGGCCGACCAGCTGGATGAGGCCGAACTGCGGCAAATGGCTGAAGGTGGCTTCGACGGCGAGGACTACCGTCGATTTGTGGCCGTAAGTGCTGGCTAAAAAGAAGAACATCAATTGAATCAATCTTTTCTCATTTTAGTCACCATCGTCCAATAAAGACGACACCGGATACTTCAGCCTGCAGGTGATCGAAAAAGCGCTGAGCAACCTCACCATAGAGATGATTAAATTCAACAGCAAGTCGTCCAACCTGGCAATCAGCTTGCGAGCCAATCCAACGTAATAACAACCCCGTGTCACGTTTTTTATTGTTATGATAGTCGTCTAACTGTTAATTGTTTCCGCCCTTTGCAGTGCAGCCCAGGCCTTCATCTGTCACTACCAGGACCACTGGTATGCACTTCGCAAGTTTGGCACTCAGTGGATCAACCTGAACTCGGTGCTGTCCAAGCCGAAGCCAATCAGTGACACCTACCTAAGCCTCTTCCTGGAGCAGCTGCAAACGGAAGGCCACTCCATCTACATCATCGCCGGCAATCTCATTCAAACGGAGGCCGACCAGTACTTGCTGGAAAATCCGCTACCGGACTGGTACTCCAAAGAGGAGCCACCGAAGAGCTCACGAAGACTTCCGGCGGGAGACGCTGGCTGCAGTGGCGGTGGCCACTCTTCTCTCCCTCTCCTCCCTCCACCGTCCTACGATGAGGCGATGGTGGAAAGTGCACTCGCTGCGAGCTTATACGAGTCTGCTCAAGATGAAGAGCGCCAAATGAAGCTGGCCATCGAGATGAGCCTGAAAAAAAGTACTTAACCTCATCCTCCTCATCATTCTCGTGCCTCTCACAGTCATTTTCCCTATAACTAAGNCTTAACCTCATCCTCCTCATCATTCTCGTGCCTCTCACAGTCATTTTCCCCAACACTCAACNAGTGCACTCGCTGCGAGCTTATACGAGTCTGCTCAAGATGAAGAGCGCCAAATGAAGCTGGCCATCGAGATGAGCCTGAAAAAAAGTACTTAACCTCATCCTCCTCATCATTCTCGTGCCTCTCACAGTCATTTTCCCTATAACTAAGGCAACCTGTGCAATCGAATAAGTGCAACAACCTTATTTACCCTTCTTTTCTACTGTTCTCTTCAATTCGATATATTACCTCGATCTTTTATACTTTTTACACAAAAACTGAAAATAGAATTGTACAACAACAGAAAAAACACGCCACCCTAAAGCTTCTGCGCAATTGCGATGGCCACCTTGCAGCCGTTGGCGATGATGCCTGAGACGAGGCTGTAGGCGAAGGCGTGCTCCGCCTCGTTCACCAGGCCCAGGTCGTGGTGCTCCTGTTCGTCGTCGCGAATGGCGCTCAGGTCGCTGATCAGCTGCCGGTGCTGCTCCGTGTCGTCCGCGATCAGTTGTCGAATCTGACTGTCGTAGTGCTTGCAGATGGTGTCCTCCACCGCCACCGTGCAGGCCATGGCCGTGCGCACGCCCAGCGCCCCGGTGACCACGCCGAGCGCCGTGCCGGCCACGTCCCAGAGCGGCGTCAGCAGACTGCGGCCGGTCCGCTGGAGGAGCATCTGCTTGGAGAAGTACTCCAGGTGCCGCTTCTCCTCGTTCCACATCTCCTGGATCATCGGCGCCACCTTCGCGTCATTGCGCAGACTGTACAGCTGGCCCATGTAGATGCGGTCGGCGGCCAGCTCGCCGCTGTGGTTCACCCGCAGCATCGTCTCGTAGAGGGCGTGCCGGCGACGGGCCAGGTACTTAGCGGCGGCCATAATGTGGTCAGATCAGATCACTTCAGGTCGTCAAAGCAAAGCGATCAGCAGAAGATGATCTTCCCTGCGAAAAGTCAAAACACAAAAAAACAAACATCAGCTGCGACAACAATCAAACTCGGCAATCGATACTCGCTGCTCGATAGTAAGTCGGTACCACGTGCAGAGCACTTTTTTCTGACCGACACAACTTTCTTCTTCTGTTTTTTTTTCGGTTTCTGTCTGTTTACGTTGTTGATTCACCTGTGATCTTGGATTCTTCCGCCAGAACGCCAGTGAAATGGCAAAGAGGAAAAATGCGACGCCAAAGGTGCAGGAGGGCTTTCGCGCCGGCTCCCACCACAGCCTGAACCCGGACCGGCCGAAGGATGCCACGCAGACGCACCTCCGCGACAAGGCCACTATCAAGCGGCTGTTGATGTACAAGGGCGGCAAGGCGGTGCACGACCGCCGTGGAAAGGTGGTCAAGGCGGCGCCCTTTCAGTCGCTGCTGCCCAGCGGAACGCGCGCCCGCATCGCCCCCAACCAGAAGTGGTTCGGCAACACCCGCACCATCACCCAGTCTTCGCTGCAGAAGTTCCAGGATGAGCTCGGCAAGGCAGTGCGCGACCCCTACAAGGTGGTGATGAAGCAGACGACGCTGCCGGTGACGCTGCTCAACGAGCGCGCCAAGTTCCAGCGCGTGCACATTCTCGAGACGGAGAGCTTCAAGGACACCTTCGGGAAGAACGCCAAGCGCAAGCGGCCGAAGATCAAGTTCGACGACCTGCAGACGTTCGCCTCGGCGGCCGACCAGAAGGCGGACGCCTACGACGCCGCCAAGGACTCCAACCTGATCGTCGACCGCGACTACAAGGTCGAGACGATGGAGAGCATCATGAAGAAGGGCCAGTCGAAGCGCATCTGGAACGAGCTCTACAAGGTCATCGACTCGAGCGACGTCGTCGTGCAGGTGCTGGACGTGCGCGATCCGATGGGCACCCGCTCGCGCCACATTGAGACCTTCATGCGCAAGGAGAAGCCGCACAAGCACCTCGTCTTTGTGCTCAACAAGTGCGACCTGGTGCCCACCTGGGTGACGCAGAAGTGGGTGACCCTGCTCTCCGCGGAGTACCCCACCATGGCCTTCAAGGCGTCCATCAAGACGCCCTTCGGCAAGGGCGCCATGATCAGCCTGCTGCGGCAGTTCTCGCAGCTGCACCTCGACAAGAAGCAGATCAGCGTCGGCTTCATCGGCTACCCCAACGTGGGCAAGTCCTCGGTGATCAACACGCTGCGCGCGAAGAAGGTCTGCAAGGTGGCGCCGCTGGCGGGCGAGACGAAGGTCTGGCAGTACATCACTCTGATGAGGCGCATCTACCTGATCGACTGCCCCGGGGTGGTCTACCCCGCCGGCGACACCGAGACGGAGATCGTCCTGAAGGGCGTCGTCCGCGTGGAGAACATCAAAAGCCCCGACGACTACATTCCCGCGGTGATAGAGCGCGTCCGCCCGGAGTACCTGCTGAAGGCGTACAAGATCGCCGAGTACGCCGACCACATTGACTTTCTCACGAAGCTGGCGCAGCGCACCGGCAAGCTGCTGAAGGGCGGCGAGCCGGACATCAACACCGTCGCGAAGATGGTCCTCAACGACTGGCAGCGCGGCAAGCTGCCCTACTTTGTGCAGCCGCCGGAGCGGCTCGAGGCGGCGGCTGATGAGACCTCAGAGACCAAAAAGCAGCAGACATCAACAGCAGCATCAGCGGCGGCAAAGCGAACGCCCATCGCCACCATCAAGCAGGACCTCTCAAAGGTGGACGTCGAGCTGGAGTTTGAGGGCGACGACGTGAAGACGCTGCAGCAGCAGGCCAACCCCGAGGAGCTCTACCAGTCTGATGGGGAGGAGGATAAGGAGGAAGAGGAGGAGGA